CGTTGAAATGCGGGTCGAAACCCGGAACCACCGTCCTCGTCGCGTATGATTTGAAACCTTCCAACCATATCTCCTTTATGTGCATCCCTTCTTCCAATTAAGCCCTAGAAAAGCGAGACCAGAGAAGTTAAACCCTAGAAACGGAGTTCGATTGACAACCTGCGAAGAGGAAGAGTCGGGAGAAAGTTAAATGCCGAAATTGAGAATCTAACCGTTGGAGGAGAAGCGGAGAGACGAATCTTTCAACTCCTTTTTGTCTCTGTGAGAATTATTCCGAGTGAATTTGAAATTTTTCCCAATTCGGGGATTTGCATTTAGGTTAAACAAAAGCGCGGGAAAACGGATTATTGTAACCTTACCCTAACATTCGGTCTCGTCTAGAGGGTCTATTATTTATTGGGGTTTTTTACTGTTTTATATTCCTAAGGCAAACCTTCTAAACAACGTAGAGGGTCTCTAAATATCGACTCTTCTTTGTTGAGGTTTTATCTTGAGAGATAGCTGGTGGGGGAAAAGGCTGTATCAAATGGCGCTAAGAGCACTCTCCACCTTCCCTTCTCTTCCTCGTCGCTTCACCAGACCACGTGACCCCACCACTCTCACCGTCTTTCACCGAAACCCCGCGACCTCAATCATCTGTAAGTCAGAGTCAACAGTTTCACTCTCGGAACGGGACGGATTCGCGGCGGCTGCTCCGACACCTGGAGAGAGGTTCTTGGAGAACCAAAGAGCTCACCAAGCTCATAAAGTTATAAAGAAAGAGCTCAAAAAGGAGAAGAAGAAAAAAAAGGAAGAGAATGTACGGAAAGTCGTCGACACTTCCCTCTCTTGTTGCTACGGCTGCGGAGCTCCGTTACAAACCTCCGACGTTGATTCTCCGGGATTCGTCGATCTCGTTACTTACGATTTGGTAATGTGTACTCCCTCCGTTTCAATTTAATTGTGATTAGAGTTTTACACACAAATTAAGAAAACAACTAGTTTTACATATTTTCAAAATAAGAACAGAATTACTTATACAACTAACCACTTTTCCACCAATGAAAAAATAGAATAACATTTAAAATCAATAGATTTTGCATTGAAATTATAATACGACACTTATTTTGAAACTAAAATTTTACTCTAAAATGACATATAATTTGAAACGGAGGGAGTAATAAAGTTTGTTGTTTTGAAGTGGAAAGTGTAGTAAAGTTTGAATCTTTGTTGTTGTTTGTTGCAGAAGAAGAAGCATCACCAGTTGAGAAGTGTGATATGTGGAAGGTGTCAGCTTTTGTCACATGGACATATGGTTACAGCTGTTGGTGGTAATGGAGGGTATGCTGGTGGGAAGCAGTTTGTGTCGGCTGATGAGCTCAGGGAGAAGCTTTCTCACTTGCGTTTTGAGAAGGCTTTGATTGTTAAGTTGGTTGACATTGTGGATTTTAATGGTAGCTTTTTAGCTCGTGTTCGGGACTTAGTTGGTGCTAATCCCATCATACTAGTTATCACTAAGGTTAGGTTTGTACAACCTGGCTGCTTCTTTAATCCCTTCCACCTACCTTTTTTCTCTTATAAATAACTGTGTTTTGTACTTTTAGATTGATCTTCTTCCAAAGGGAACAGATATGAATTGTATTGGTGATTGGGTTGTTGAAGTAACCACGAAGAAAAAGCTTAAGTAGGTATCATGTACATAACTACTAGGTTTGTTGGTTACTTGATGTTTTTGGAGCTAGTATGTCTGACTAAGACGGATATAATTTAACAGTGTCTTGAGTGTTCATCTCACGAGTTCCAAGTCTCTTGATGGAGTTAGCGGAGTTGCGTCAGAAATCCAGAAGGAGAAAAAGGTAGCATATGCTATCCTCCTTAAACTAGTCTTCACTCCTTAAAGCATATAACCTAACATCTCATCTCTGTTTTTTTTTGTTTCAGGGACGAGATGTCTACATTCTGGTATGTGCATTCACACTTTTGTTTGATAACCAAATTCATATACCTATAGCTGGACGATGCAAGTTCTTGTTTTTATATAATAGCTTAGCGTATCTTAAATGATTGAGGCACTGCTTACTGCTTATTGAAAATCAACGTTCTACGGTTGATTTTTTTCTTTATGACCATTATAATATCAAACTCTACACTACACTGTTATATATGATTCACCAAATTCATAAAAGTTATTTACTGGAGGTAATAGGCTGTGCATTTTCTAAAGAACCTTCTTTTGGTGGTCTTGCAAATATTCATTCCTCATTTCTACATGCTCTCACAGGGTGCAGCTAACGTAGGGAAATCAGCGTTCATAAACGCTTTGCTAAGTAAGTTATCTAATCGATTTGTAACTAGTTGAACACTTGCCTTTGTTTTTGTCTGGGTGCTGCTTTAGACTGACTGACTTCACTACAATTTAGTTTGCATCTATATGGAGAGTTAAATGAGATTGTATATGTACTTCGTTATACAGAAACAATGGCCGAAAGGGATCCTGTTGCAGCAGCAGCACAGAAGTACAAACCCATTCAATCAGCTGTCCCTGGAACAACCTTGGGTCCAATTCAGATCAACGCCTTCCTGGGAGGAGAGGTGACAACCTTCAGATTCTATAGCTTTTTTCATTTTTTACCAACAATAGACATGCTACTTATATAAACTGCCTTATTACCACAGAAGTTGTATGACACACCGGGAGTTCACTTACACCACAGGCAAGCAGCTGTTGTTCATTCAGATGATTTACCCGCCCTTGCTCCTCAGAATCGGCTCAGAGGCCAGTCTTTCGATGTAAGTCTACACTTTTTAAAGCCTGCTATAGACTAAAGCATCAGTATATGATGATTTTTCTTGTTTGTGCTTTGTTCCGTACAGATTTCAACATTGCCAACTCAGTCATCAGGTAGTCCTCCAGAGGGTGATAGCTTAAACGGTTATACATTCTTCTGGGGAGGTCTCGTCAGGATTGACATCTTGAAGGTAACAGTATTACCGAAATACTAAATTATGTTATTAAGTGGATATTATTTGTGAAACCGTGACATACTTTGAGCTATTGTAGGCTCTACCAGAAACACGTTTCACATTCTATGGACCAAAGGCTCTTGATATTCATGTAGTACCAACAAAAACAGCAACTGAGTTTTACCAGGTAACGTTTCTTACACCATTAGTATCAACTTCATTGCTAATTCGAGAAGAAGTTTACTATTTACTTGTACTACAGAAAGAAGTGGGCGTGCTTCTCACACCTCCATCAGGGAAAGATCAGGTACAGGAGTGGAAAGGGTTACAATCTCACCGTTTACTCCGTATCGAATTTAACGATCCAAAAAGGTGAACTAATCATCTTCTATTCGGTTTGTATTTGCTAAAAGATGAGTGATCTTCACCTAATTTTAACACATTTCTTTATCAGGCCTGCTAGTGATGTGGCGATTTCGGGGTTGGGATGGATTGCAATCGAACCAATCCGCAGATCAAAAGACTCTGAGCCGAGAGAGCTCGAAGAAGCAGAGCATGAGATACGTCTTTGTGTGAGTGTGCCAAAACCAGTTGAAGTGTTTATCAGACCAACACTACCCATTGGCACTTCTGGTGCTGAATGGTATCAGTACCGTGACTTATCCGACAAGGAAGAAGAGGTCAGACCCAAATGGTACTTTTGAACATTCTGTTTAGCTTACAGAACCAGAGTTATATATAATATAATTAATATATGTAACAGAGTTGGTTAAATAGCAAATTGTTTGTAATGAAACTTTACTAATTTAACATCCAAGAAATCAAGCATCAAAGTGAACTAAAACAATAAATAACGCTCTAAAAGCATTTCCAACATATAAAACACATAAGATATTACACTCCAGTAGCATCTCCGGTGGATGAGCCACGGTCATCTTCAGCTGCTGGAACCACCACCATGTTGTCATACACCAACGCAGCGGTGGCTCCTCCGAGCAAAGGCCCGACCCAATAGACGGCTTGGTTCTTGAAGCTTCCGTAAATCATAGCCGACCCAAAGGCACATGCAGGATTCATGGCTCCTCCAGAGAACGGACCAGAGGCTAAAACGTTGGCACCCGCAACAAACCCTATGAATATAGGTCCCACGGCTAACGGTAAGCCACGTCTCGGGTCGTTAGCCGTGAAGACGGTATAGACAAGGACAAACACTAACACACCCTCGAGAACTGATGCTCCAAACCCCGTCATTTCTCCGGCTATCTTATAGATCGGTACGTGCTGAACAACTCAAACAGACATGTTATAAACATAAACCGAAGACAAAACAAGTTCAGGTGCGTAAGGAAAACGTTGATTACCTCCTCAACGACTGTTACTTTAAGGACAAGGCATGCCATAACAGAGGCAATCATCTGTGATGTCCAATAGAACATAGCGGTTGGAACGCTAATCCGACCAGCAACCGCCATTCCAAACGTGACCGCTGGATTCACATGGCCACCAGAGACGTTCCAAGAGATGTAAACCGATGAAGATAACGCAAACGCATTTGCAATTGCTGGTATTAATACACTAAACGGACCCGTAACATCACCCCCCGTCAGTTTCCCTAGTAAACACAAATAAATAAATAAACATCTTCTTAACAAGAAAACAATCAAAACGTTCAGATAATTAATTTAAAGAAAGTGTGAAGTTACGTGAAGCCATGACGGAACCAACGGCTGCGAGGACGAAGAAGAAGGTCGAGATAAACTCAGAAACGTAGCATCTCAACGCATTCATACTCACTGCTCCTTGGAACTTGCTTGAAAACGTTGTTGGAATCATTCTTCTCATCAATTTCTTTAATATAATTTCCTTACTTGCTCTCTCCCTCTTTCTGTGTCAAGTGAATGTTGTAAATCTATAAATATTAAGAGAAACGGTCAATTTTTTTACAACACATTAACCGTTCCAATACAGACGTGTTTTTTACTACTGGCGAATGTGAGAGTGGGGGAAGTTATTTACAGTTATCGAGTTTTATGAATTTTAAAAATGGCCACGTAGGTAAATTATACTTTTTAATCAATACCCTTAATTTTGTTTTGTTTCAGTTTGACCGTTAAAACTAAAAGAAAATATAAAATTGAAGTTTGCATATGTTTTACAAGTTTGTGCATACGTTCCTTGGATCTTAATAAGTATCTCTCACGATGGCCAATTCCTATACCAACCGGCCCAAGCCGAAACTAAACCGCTTATACCAAGTGTAACCGTGTGGTTACAAAACGGGTTTGGTTGAATTTCCGCCAATGCGATAATCAAATCCGCAATGTTAGCTGAAATTCCCATTGATCTCATCACTATATCTCCCTGAATCTCGCTAACTTTCACGCTGGTGTCTTCTTTCGGTTCATCATTGATCCGGAGTCTTCTCAAGGATCTGAGTCTCTGCCTTATGAAAATGCAGTCGATGATGATAAAGAAAACGTAACCGAAAGATTCACCAAAAGCCGAGATGAAACTCATTTTCTTGGCGATCTTGGGGTCTAGTGTACCGATTCTTGATAACCAAAGAAAATGATCGAAGAAGAAGTAAACCATCTCTCCTGAATTGGCTAGGACCGCCAAGAAACGGATCAGTGGTGTTGCCCCCGGGTTTCGTCTCATGGCATTGAAACCCGTTAGAGACCTCCCAGTCCTGTCCGCATGATTCGACATTAATTAAGTTATAACAGGAATTACAATTTTTAATTATATCTATTCAGTTATAACTAAGTTTCATGTATTTATATTGTATTGTTAGTATATATAATATGAATCTTACTACTAGGGACGACTGTTTACATTTGCTAGATGAGATACAATATTCATTAAGAAGTTCTCTAAAGCAAACATTACTATATTTACGATTATGCCATTATGTAGATAAAGTGATTAGAGTTGGGTGTGGGGACCTGAAGGCTTTGCGGCTGAGACCGGAAGCGACCTCCCATTTCTTGAACCTCTCGGCTGCGTCGGGTCGTGTGCCTTCAACGTGCCAGCACGCGAGTTTGGCCACGTATTGGAATGTTTTCACAAGCTTGTCTATTCCGTCTCTCTTGGCCAAGAACACCACCAGCTTGTCCACCGTGTCCAAAGACATTGCTTACGGCGACGGAAGATTGAGAAAGAGAGGGAGGAAAATAATAGATGACGAAGTTATAGAGATGAGGAAGAAGAAAATTTGAGCCACAAGTGACGTTTGTTGCTCGAGTTACTCTCGTCTTTTATTTGTTTTCTTTGGTTTGAGTTTTAGATGATTACTTTTAGGGCTGGGCATTTTATCCGTTATATTTGATTCGATTCGTTATTCGTTTCGATTCGATCCAAAAATTCCGGATATCCCTAAACTTTCGAATCAAAGCAAATACTAAAATTTAATATCCGTTAAAATTGAAGCAAATCACAAATATTAAAATTTTGGGAAGCGGATATCCGATCCGATTCGGAAAAATATAAATATATGTATATCTTGAATATATTTAAAATTTTAAATGTATTAAATTATATAATTATTATTCTAGCACATGATTTTGAACAATTCTATTCACATTATTACTTATATAAAAGTATTACATAAAAGAGAGAAAAAAATTATGACGATTATATTTTTTTCTTAAATTTTGTGTTATTATAATTGTAACTTAAATTTAAAAAAATTACAAAATATGTAAATTCACTAGTTCTTTTAATTTTTATTTTATATATCATGCAAAACAATATTTTTGCAAAGCAAATTTGTATCAAAATCTTGTATTAATCAAAATGGATGAGATATCCGTGAATATTCGTAAATATCCGTAAATATCTATTTATTTTTTGGATATCCGTTTTTCCGGATATCCGTATTTTTTCGAAGCAAAGCAAATACCAAAATTAGATATCCGCAACATTCGAAGCAAATCACAAATACCTTAAAAAACTCGGATATCCGATCCGTGCCCACCCCTAATTACTTTTTGTGGTGATTACTCTACTTACTCTTTCTGTCTCATGTTTTGATATAACGTTTGGGGTATATTAGAAATTTTGTTAAATATGTGGAAGAAACTTTCAATTATTTTAGGTTTGAAGATAATTCTCTCTTTTACAATTGATTGAACGTTGGAGAATGTGTATGCACATGATCACATCACTTCAAGATAAGACAGGTACGTTAGTTTGATAAATGGGCTTTATTTCTGGCTTGAGCCTTAGCTCAAACTGAAAACAAATGATCAGAATCCTTGGACCTCCAAACGCTCTTTAATTGTGTGAATAGAAATGTTATGCTTATCACACAACATATATGTATCTTTTATCTTTTTTTTTTTTTTTTTTTTGTCAGCCGTCCATCTAAAACTAGATCAAGTGGTGATCAGACGAGTCGATCCTCCTAGGAGCATCTCCGTCTGGCCTGGTCTGATCTATATGAGAAAAGATAGATCCTTTTCTTCTCGCATCTTTAGCTAGTTCATCCGCTCGACCATTCCTACTTCGAGGAATATGAGAAAACCTCATATCCTCAAAGTCTTCCTATAATCTCTTAAGCCTCTCGATCTCGCAACATAGATGTATCTAATGCTGCTAAAGCCCGACTTTTCAGTACTGACGTGTATGTCCGTTTTGAGGCTAAGGATCGAGGCATCAAAGTCCAAAGATGGGAGCTGAGCTTGAAGATGCGCCTCTGGCGAAGACGGTGTTGGGACAAGGGCTTCATTCCGATCATACGGACCAACAATCTGGCATGTCATTTTGTTTCGAATTAGGTTCCCAACTTTGTGTATTTTTTATGTTTTCGTATCATTAGGTCGAATTAGGTGGTGTAAGTGGACGACTTCTTTCCGTGTCGTGGGAAGATGTCTGTTCCTATGGGGTTTAAAAAAATGCAATGGGGTTAGGATGGGTAGCGTTGAATCCTCAGTAGTGATTCAGGGTGATACTGAAATCCCCTCATTTGCATATGCGGTTGAAATCTATTGTGGTTTGAACTGGTTGTACCCAAATCATTTGGTGAATATAAGTTGATGTTAAGTTGCAAAAAAAAAGATATATCTAATGCTTTTTTTTTTTTAACTTCAACAACTTTTATTAACTTGTCATAGAAACATAATCTCTATGCAGAAAAGCTGTTATTGATACATGAGGATATGCATAAAAATGAAAGACAGTTCCAGGATCCACTCTTTCCTTTGCAAGTATTTCTGCAACCTGATTCCCTTCTCAACAGATCCATGAAAACCGTATATGATCAAACTTCGCACTCCACCATCGGATTTCCCTAATCCAATTGTATCCTTGGAATTGAAGAACTTTCCCATTTAAAGCATCAATGAGTTTTTTGCAGTCACTTTCAAACTCAATTTTTTTAAAGCCTTTAACACAACAGTTTTGCATCGAAATAATAAGAGCTTGACATTCTGCCTCAAATGCATTGTTAACCACATGTCCAATTGCATGACCTGCTCCCAAAAAAACACCTTGATCATTACGCATAATCCATCCAGCGTAACTAGCAGTAGTTGGTCCTAAATGTGCTCCATCCGTATTGCATTTAATTCACCCTTCACTCGGCTTTTGCCATAATTTGGCTACCCTTCCATTTAGAGAACCAGCTCCTCTGTTTTGAGATCTATCATTGTAAACCTCAGCATCTTTCCATTCTCCAGATTCAGCTTCTGCTTGTCTTAACACCCTCCACCATTGTAAACTTTTTTGTTGAAAAACCATCATATTGTGACTTTCCATAATCTCCACAATATACAAATAGGAAAATTTTGCATATGTCTTAACGTAGGGGATAAGTTACATGAGAGGCATGCATCTATCTTCTGATCGAAAGTAGCAAAAGGGTTATTGATAGTGGTATTAGAAACTCCAGATGCTCTCCATATCATTTGCGCATAAGGACATTCAAAGAACAAATGTTGTTCTGTTTCTTCTGCAGCACAACAACGACAACACTGATCAAATTGGGAACATGTCTACGTTTTAGATTTGAACCTGTAGCCAGAGACATAGACATCATTTTCAAAAGGAAATTCTTGATCTTTGGAGGTGTAGAGCACTTCCAGATCTTCCTTTTAATCAGAGTATTACCAAAGACCGGAAGTACCATTTCATTTCTAGGTAAATGAGTACTCAACCAGTAACCCGACTTCACTGTGTATATACCATCCTCGTTGTAATGCCATCCCAAAAGATCCGCTTCAGCATTTGGACTTATCTTTATCTTCAAAATTTGATCCACATCCTCCGCATCAACACAATCCCTAAGTTTTCCTTCATTCCAGCTACTATCATCATTTAGAAAACTGTTAACACTGACCTCAAGAGGCTGGTCCTGTAAAGGACGTGGTGGTCTAGGCGGATGTTCAGGTAACCAAGCATGTCTCCACATGTCTACCGCGAGACCTTTTCCTATAATGAATCTCATCCCTTGTTTAAGTAAGTCCCGGCAAATAATAGTGACTTCCACGCATAAGATGGTTTCTTCTTTTGGACAGCCTCAAGGATAGATCCATCTGGGAAATAACGAGCCTTCATTATACGTGCCATTAAGCAATCTGGATTTTGTAGGATACGCCAAACTTGCTTAGCTAATAAAGCTTGATTGAAACTTTCCAAATCTTTAAAACCCAAACCACCTTCTTTCTTTGGCCTACACACACTTAATTGTTTACAATAACACGTACTTTCTAAATCTCCATCTGCATCTGCAACTTTGATGTCAAGGTAACCTTTTATATAGATAGGATTCTAGCCCATATGATATGCAAGACGCACAACTCCATCAAAAATTACAAGATGTAACCTATACGATATCATGTAAAAAAATTGGTTATAGGTTAACCTGTCTTAACACACATAAAGACATGTGTAAATGATGAAATATTATGATCATCCATCTGGAAAGCACGTATGATGTCATTACAATTTATATCATTGTCATCACCAGGGTCGGCCCTGACCTAAGGCTCATAAAGCATGGGCTTTAGGCGCCAAAATTTATATAAAAGTTAAGGTCATCAGAATTCAAAAAGGTTACATTAGTGTAGTGGTTTTTGACCTTGTCATTTGGCTCTTTCAAGTGGGGGTGTTCGAACCCAGCTTTCACCCTCCCTTCCCTTTTAATTTTTCTTTTCATAATCCCCTATATATTAATTGAGAAACATTTGAAAAGATGTAACCTCAATTTTGTATTAATTAAAAGAGGCCCCAATGCATAGGTGTCATTCAATTAGATAGTCAATTAGATTCAATTGAAAAATAAGTAAGTCCACATTGGATTTTTATATGTTGCTAGATACATTAGTTAGTCAAACTATATGATATAATGATATGATATGATATTTTCTTTCCATAAATAAAACCTACGGAATTACCATAAATGACTAATATATATATATATATGACACTTAATGATTGTTCCCTAAGATATAATTACTATTTTATTTTATTTCCATAAATAAAACCTACGGAATTACCATAAATGACTATATATATATATATGACACTTAATGATTCTAATAATAAATATTTGATAACAGTTTATATATCCTCCATCATTTTTATTTAATTTTATATTACTAAAATAAATTAAACAATCAAATTAGCTATAAAATTAAACTTTAGATTTTTTCGTATAGGTTATATTTTGAATTTTAAGAAACGAGAATAAATAACTAAACTATTAAAATTATTATGTTAAAAATTAATGATCAATAGTTTAACATTTTATTATAAAAAGATATACATGATTTTAAAACCATATAAGTAAAAAGTATCANTAAAATTAAACTTTAGATTTTTTCGTATAGGTTATATTTTGAATTTTAAGAAACGAGAATAAATAACTAAACTATTAAAATTATTATGTTAAAAATTAATGATCAATAGTTTAACATTTTATTATAAAAAGATATACATGATTTTAAAACCATATAAGTAAAAAGTATCATTCAATAATAAAACAAATATATATATATATACAGATTAAACTATATACCATATAAGATTACATAAATATTTTAATTTCAAAATTTTCAATAAATTTTCAAGAACATTTATAAATTATAAACTTATTAAATTTTTCACACTGAAATTTTTTGTTATCAATGATTT